TTCCATCTTCAGCCAATGTTCTCTCTTGGCCTAGCTCAGTCCTTTCATCCGTTTCATCATCACTTTCCATTAAAGCCTTATTGAGGCCTGCTAAATTGGATTTTTCTTTGGGTGGCCTAGTTTCATACAGAGGCCTCTTTCCTTTTGATTGTATCCTGGTGTCTAGTGGGGCTACCAAGGAAAAATGTTGTCTAGGGCCAGTTGGGAGCCCTTTCAGCCACTTGTAACACATCTTGCACCTGGGACACATCCACTGCACTATAGCAGCTTCGAGAGAGTCATTATCCAACATCTCTTCACTAGAGCCTTCTTTTAGGCTTGCAGAGCTTTGTCCATCAGCTGGTGAACTTCTTGTGTTCTGCCTGAGAGCAGCCTAGCTAGCCACACGCATCTGCACAGTAACTTCTTCTAATTCTTTCAAGGATAAGTTTTGGAAATTTGATATGCCAACATTGGCTACAGCCTCCTCAATCTCTGGAAATGGGTTGGTGTCAATTCCCATAACTTTCTCAGACTTGGCTGGAAACTTTAGCTTCCCCTTCCGAATCTGTTCCTGGATCCTGTCTCGAAAAACAATACAGTTTTTAGTTGAATGAGACCAAGAATTATGTCATTTATAATACATTTTCCTTTAAGTTCTTCAAGGGTAGGAATCTTGACTCCCTTTGGTAACGTTAGGAAATTTGCTGCAAGTGAATGATAAAAAATGTCATCTGCTTTTGTTAAGTTAAAAGAATAATTCCTATGCAGGTCTTTTTTTTAAAACTGTTGGCTTATTGTACTATCTTTCTGAATTAATACCTCACAAGTCATAGGTTCTTTTCATACTATCTCTGATGCATCAATTTCATAATTAGGGTCCCTATAATGGGTTTTATATGATGCATTACTTCAATCTTGTTCTTCCTCGAGTAAAGTTTCATATCTAGACACCTTATAGGTTAACTCTACTAAGTCTTGAAACTCAGTTGAATCAAACTTCTGTCGAAGCCTAAATTTCAAGCCATTTTGAGCCAATCTTACAAATTCAGGCTCTAGTAGCATGACGTTGCATTTGTTTTGTGCCTTTTTAAATCTGGCAATAAACCTAGCAGCCTTCTCATCAGGCTTTTGGCTCAATCTTACCAAGTCTGCCATAGAAACTTCAGGTTCTGTTTGGAAAAATTGGGCATGAAAAACTTTCTCCATTTGCTGCCAAGTTAGGATAGAGCCAGGTGTAAGGTTTATGTACCATACGAAGGCTACTCCAGTTAAAGAGTTTGGAAAGAGTTTCAGTTTCATGTAATCATTATTAGCGAACTCATCACACTGGCTTGTAAACCTAACAACGAGCTCCACTGTTGACTGATTCCCATTCCCATAAAAAAGAGCAAAGTCTGGTATTCTAAACCCTCTAGGATACTCATGTACCCTATCCACCCACTATGGGTAAGATTTTCTGTACACTGGTATCTGGACCTCCCGAGCCATAGGTCTATACATTTCTCTAACTATATCAGCAATTTGGTCCCTTGGAACCATATTTTGTGTTGGTTGAACCATTACTGGAGGAACAAAAACAGGGTTTGAAGGAACTCCATGTGCTTGAGGTCCTTTTGGTTCATATATGGGTACATTAAAGGCTGGCTATCCTTGTTGCACTAGTTGCTGTTGGAGGTATGGCTGACCTCTTGGAATCTATCTTGGGAAAGGTTCTACAAAAGATGCTACAAGAGGAGGAACATGTATTATTTCTCTTCCAGCTGCAGGAAATCCCTCCAACTCTCCGGGTGTAAATTCAAACACAGGATTAATGAAGCTCCGCGTGCCAGGTATGGCTTTGAACATAGGATTTGAAAATATCCTCATACCATTCCCTTGTACTGCCCCAGATCCACCAATTTGTAGGGTTTCCCTGGTGGGCAATGGCACATTTTGGTTTGCTAGTGGTCTCGAAGGAGCTTCATACCATGATTGAGGCACAGGTGGTGACCTTTCATGACTATGATTGCTAGTCTAACCATTGCTTTGTCTATTATTTTGCATAGGCTGTTTGTCTCGAGCCAATCTATGCTGAAGGGAATTTATGTTTTCTTCATCCTGTCGTGCGATCATTGGTTGATGGGAGTTAACTCGATCTAAAAAGGATGTTGCCCATCTTTCCATTGTATACATTAATTGTTTCCCCATAGCATCTACTAAACCTCTTCATAGATTTATTGGGTGGGAAGAAGGGACATTCGAAGGTCCAGTCTTATAGCCATGTCTAGTGTGTTGGACATGTGTTGTATACTCTGAAGTGCTAGTCTGTTCAACCATTTGTGGAGGATCTGATGGGGCAGGTGCATCCATTACATTCTCCTCTGGGTTAGGTATTTCTACATCTCCTTCCATACCCTCTTCCAGGCGTTCACTTTTTCCTCTTGCTCTACGTCTAGCCATTTTTAATATGTCCCACCGGGCGTGCCAAAGATATATGGTGGGCTATTTTGGCTTTCGAAGATTAATTATGTAATTTTAAGCGTGCTAGCACAGATCAATCAGTCCTTATAGAATTTTAATTGCCAACCAATTATCATACGATTGTGTTGAAATTCTTTCAACCTCAATGAAGAGGACTTTTACTGGTGGCTTGTTTGAAGAAATTTTTTATAAGAGATAACAAGTACAGAACAATTTAGAAACTGAATTTCATTGAGTGAATAAGAACTTACAATGAAATGATCCAGTCTTAAAAAGATTTATAATAATGACTACTTGAGAACTACTCCTAGGAAATGAAGTGCAGTACAGGAATTGAAATGCTGAAAAATGTAAAGAATTGAAAATATAAAGCTGGAAAGAAAATATGAAGTAAATGACTAGTTTCTGGATCTGAGTCTGGATCTTTCAATTTGGGACCTTCCATGCTATTTATACTCTTCAATGGTAATCGTCGAAGTGGGCTTCCAACTGTCGAAATGTCCTCCCATGATTGCTGATCATGCTCTCTCACAGTCAGTCCCACTACGCCATTCTTGCAGTTAGACTCCCCTTTTGGATTTGAATTTAAATTCGTGAGTAACCGTTATGCCACGTCATCTTGCGCCTTCTAGCTATTCCAGTGCTGTGTAGATCTATTATAACCAACATGACCTGTCACGTGTCTGTCTTTGATTGGAGACTTGTATTAACTCCCCGAATTGCCTCTCATATACCATATGTCAAGCTACAATTAGCTTTTACAAAATATATAGCCAACAATATTGCATGTAAAATACATATATACAGATATATTCAAACTTTTTTTAAAAAAAGAAAGTAATTTACACAGATCTTTCTTTACACCATTAAATATAGGGTTGCAATTTGAATAAGTTTGATAAAATTGAGAATTTGTCCAAGTTTGATATGAAAACACAAATTAATTTATCTAATTTCGACTCAAACCCGACTTTTAGCTATCACTTGCTTAGGTCTTTATCTCTGAATTTGATTAGCATTGTATTACATAAAGGTGGGGGGAAAAAAATCCAAAAATTACAAAATAAAGAACTGTTGGCTATATATTTTGTACAGGACGTGGCTCGTAAAGGGTGATTTGGAAAGTTAATGCGAGTCTCCAATTCGCAGCATACACTTGGCAGTTCATATCGGTAATAACGGATCTGCGTAACATGAAAATAGTTAGAGGGCGTGAGGTGACGTGGCCCAACGGTTACTCACAATTTAAATTAAAATTAAAATTCAAATTCAAATTCAAGAGGAAAGCCCAACTGCAAGGAAGGCGTAGTGGGAGCAGATTGTTCAGGGCCATAACCAATAATTGTGGAAGGGCATTTCGACGATTAGAAGTACACTTTGACGGTTACCATTGGAGAATATAAATAGAAGATAAGGCCAACAGAAGGGGACCCATACTCAGATCTAGAAACCAGCTATTTACTTCATGTTTATTTTTCTTTCCAGTTGTTACATTTCCAGTTCTTCAATTCCTGGACTGCACTTCATTTCTTAGGTGTAGTTTCAAGTAGTTGTTGTTGTAAACCTTTTCGAGGCTGGGTCATTCCATTGTAAGTTCTTATTTACTTAATGAAATTTAGTTTCTGAACTGTTTTGTACCTGTCATTATTTGTAAGTTTCTCCTACACAAGCTACTAGTAAAAGTTTTCTTTATTGAGACTGAAAGAATTTCAACACAATTGTTTGATAATTGGTTGGCAATTAAATTTCTGTAAAGACTTATTGATTCTTGTTGGCACGTTTAAATTACATAATTAATTTTCGAAAGCTAAAAAAGACAATAAGAACATAAAAGAAAAAGTTGGTTCGAGTTAACAACATTTGTAGTGTGATTTAATAACACCCCTCAAAACAAAAAAAATTATACATACTAATAAAATAATCCAAGTTACAAGAATTATGATAGGCTTTGATCAAAATATGGGTTGAAATTTTGTTTTTTACTCAAGCTCAAGCTAAAATATGAAGAAAACTGCTATAAATTTTAAATAATTTAACAAATTTTTCATCAAACCTCGGGTCACATGGGTGTGAAATCCACATGTGTATAAGGTTTGATAAAAAATTTGATAAAATTATTTAGTATTTCTAACATAACTCAAATATAAAATAATATATAATCTCTTTAAAACTTTGCAAACTAGATTTAAGGGTGTTTTAAAAATTAATTTTTTTAAAAATATATAAAAAATAATATGACTCAAAATAAAAATAAAAATAAAAATAAAAATTGAAAAATGAGTTTTAAGGCATTAATTACACAACCCTAAATTACAAGATTCTTCATTGACTCAACTAATTAATCTTCCACAAAAAGCATAGTTTCTAATTGAAGCCCTAGTAAGTCCAATTCAAATCCAACAACATTAGCCCCTAAAAACGGCGAGCAAATCCTGCCACACGTAACCCACAAATGGCCCAATCCTGAGCGTTCGTGATTTCACGCTCTACAAAGCGAGTGACTTTGCCCCACAATTGGCCCGGAAATTGTAGATTAAAACCTGACCCGTATTTGCTTTTGTTGGTTTAACAAACAATCGCTGAGGTTTTAGCACTTTCCCCCTTCCCTTTCTTTCTCTGCAAAAAGGGTTTTAGGGTTTCTCTCTCTAAACTTTATCTTCTTCGTCTCTCTCTCTCTCGCTCTTCAAATCCGAAAGCCATGGATAGATACCAGAAGGTTGAGAAACCGAAGCCCGAAACGCCCATAAACGAGAACGAGATCCGAATCACAGCACAGGGTTTGGTTAGGAACTACATCAGCTATGCCACCAATCTTCTTCAGGCACTCTCTCTGTCATCGTTTGTTCAATCGGTTTATATCTGATTGGTTTTTATTTGATATCGTAGTTTGTGTTTTGTTTCAAGGGTTTTTTTTTTTTTTGAAGATTTGGAGTGGAAACAAAGATTATAGTGTGCATAACATACAAAAATGTATTACTCAACATGTATTAAAATAATTGATGGAAGTAGAAATCTGATTAATGAAGATTTATATGGTGTTTGTGTGAGGTGTAGAAAGTGTGGAGGGACTATTATGACAATGAATTCCATTAACATAATCATATTTAAAACACAAGTGGGAGCACTCAAATGAGCTTTAGAATAAAGTGTTAATGCATAGTTAGGTTTGGGTTTTGGGGGGGAGGGGGGGCAGGTGGCACAGAAAGTGAGTCCACTTATAAGTGGCACTTACGCTGTGTTTGGTTGGAGGATTTGAGGAGGGATTTGGAAAAGAAAAGGGAAAAGAGAAAGGAAATGTGAATAAAATATACCTGTATTTTACCTAGTTTCACACACTTATTCCCCTTCGCTTTCCAAATCCCTCAGCCAAACACAGCTTTAGAAAATTTTCAGGTAGTCTTGAATACTAGATTATATTTTGGTGTCACATGGGCATATTTTGGTATTTATATACTTGCTTGTTTTACCTGATTGCCTGATTGGTTGATAGTTTAAAACTTCGGGTTTCTAGCCAAATATTTGTAGCAACCGTGAAATGTGGTTTTCATGATAGCCACATTTTATAGTTGTGTTTTAGTCAATTGGTAGCATTAGCTTGACATGATAGGTAGGTGTATCCCATTTGATATGTGTGCACCAATAGAGCAAGGAAAGTGATTTATAAACATAAAATTCATACAAAAAATACATCTGGAATGATGTGTTAATGTCATTTGTGAAATTATAAGGATAATAATGAGTGTTTTGATTGAAAATGAAGTGATCACAAGATGCCAACACATTATGTATAGAATTTCTGTACGAACATTCTGTTTGTATATCATTACTCATAGAGCAATGGCTAGAATTAGGAGTTGTTTGGGATGATCTAAATAAGTGTATTTTTTGACTTTTTATGAAATATGGGTTGGGTATGAAGTGATGTGTTGGAGAGGTGATGTGACTTAAATAAGATGATGTGACTTAAATAGGATAGTGACCTATGACGCATCGACATGTCGCTAGGCCTTACGTACGAGTGTCGGACATGGACACGCGTCGGACACGGACACGCGTCGGACACGCAGTAGACACGTGTCCGACACTCTCTAACGTATCCCTTTTTTTTTTTTGAAATTTTTCAGTTGGACATGCCATGGACACGCTTGGACACTTTCTGGACACGCATGAATGGATCGAAGAACCCTAACTGTTGCAGAGGAGACAGAGAAAGAAAGAAAGAGATCGATGGAGACAGAGAAAGAGAGAAAACTGTTGCGGAGGAGACAGAGAAAGAGAGAAAGAGATCGAAGGAGACAGAAAGAGAGAAAGAGATCGAGGGAGGAGATGAGACAGAGAAAGAGAGAAAGAGATTGAGGGAGAGGAAGAAGCCTAACCTGTCAATCGAAGAAGCTGAGGAGCTGATATTCTTCATCTTCTCTCTTCTTCTTCTCCTTCTTCTCTTCATTTTCTTCCTCTTCTTCTCCCTTTCGTCTCTGCTTTTCTGACTCTGTGTCTCTATCTCAGCCTTTTTGATTTCACTCTCTCTCTCCTCTATTGTTTCTCTTTTTTTTTCTTTTTTTTTTTCTCTTCTTCTTATCCTGTTTCTCTCTCCCTCTTTTTTTTTTTTTTTTTTTCTTCTTTCTTTTTTTATCCTTATTTTTTTTAAACCTAAAATTTATAAAATAAATTATTTTTATTTAAAAAACTCATTTTATTAAAAAAAATTAAAAAAATATGTTTATTAATTTTATTATTATTGTAATTGTATAAGAATTAATGATTTTCTTTTTATTTTAGACATATAATAAATAAATAAAATTATATATATTAAACGTGTCCCCAGCGTGTCGTGTCCCCCATTTTTTGAAAAATTGCGTGTCCGCGTGTCCGTGTCATATCCCGTGTCCGTGTCCGTGTCCGTGCTACATTGATAGTGACTTTTTGGCTTTTTCCAAACATACCAAACTAGCCCTTAGTCTTACTGGGTAATTCTGAGTGCATATGTTTTGGTTGCCATTAGCTTAGATTTGAAGCCCTGCAGCATTTATTTTGTATCTTGGATTAATATATACTAAGAAGCAAAAATATGTACACACAACACAATATAGATTTGCCAACACGACAAATTTTAAAAATGTAAGAGAGGACGCATTGCAACATGCGTAAATAATATTAAATATGAATATTTCATTTAAAGATAATAAAAAAATGTGACACATCATTAATTTCTATAGTCTAAATGAGTCAGGATTACTATGTATAAGTCTATATTTTTTTATGATTGGATCCTAACTTGTTTATTTTTATTTTTATAAACTTGTAATGTGTTTCATGTGAGTCTAAACGAGAGACACATGTGTCTCCTAACCCTAGTGTTTGAATCATGTCTAATCCTATTTATAAAAAAAATAAAGAAGAGAGAGAATACATTTGGATGTGTGTCCAACCCGGATAAGACACCTTCTTTGAATTGTTTGTGTCTTAGACTATAACGTTATAAAAAATCTTTTTATTTTTTGGCATGCCTTTCTTTGTTTCAGTTGCCTCAAAGAGGAATCATTTTATTTGCACCCTACTGTCTGTCACTATAATTTATTGTTGCAAGTGAATGTGTTTCTTTTATGCTATTAAGGTATGTAACAGCTGCTAACAATATTAAGTTGTTAACTTGTTAAACTTTCATCCTTGAAAGCTTTTGAATTCTTCTCTATAAAATAAAATAAAAATTTAAAAAAAGGTGTCAAGGTTTTTGACTCAAGGAATGTCTTAGTGAAAGATTTTGTCCTCTACACTTCATTAATGATTTAGAGGTGATTTTTTTTAATATTGTTGTTTTGGCACCATTTAGGTATTAATACCAAGTAGTGCATAAATCAGTGATTAGGTTGTATCATGGATTTGCAGAATTGTGAGTGTGAATGAGCTGTATTTAGTTGTAGATTGCTTGCATCCGCACATGCTTAGAAAGTTATGATTTTTACTTTTATTTTGCTTCGATTAGAAAATTACAGTAAAATCCCCGAGTTTCTAACAATTGCACAGACATCTGCTTAGGTTTATAAAATGACATTAACACTCGTCAGAATTGTCAAGTGACATTATTTTAATGAAACATGCGATTGTACTTTTTCCCTTATATCTAAAAGTGAATATTTTGATCGAAAGTTTAATATTTTGCAAAAAGATAACTTGTAATAGTATTATTGGCATGTTGGTGGAGTTAGTAGGAGAGGGTTCCTTTTTCTTGTTAGATGAAGTAAGAGGTGAGAATGCTATTTCAATAACCTCATGTGGGTTGTTCTTGCAATTGTTAGAAATCTCAAGGGGTGTGGTTGTAGTGTAAACTTTTTTTTTTTTTTTGTGTGTGTGTGTTCTTTTTATTGGCACATGCGAGGACCAAAGCCCTTAGAGAGACAAAAATTAATTGTGGGAGTAGAGATGCAAATGAGCCAAGCCAAGCTGAGTTTTCCGTTGTTTGGGCTTGGGTCAGGGAAATCATCTCCTTATCTATTTCCCTTATATCTAAAAGTGAATATTTTGATCGAAAGTTTAATATTTTGCAAAAAGATAACTTGTAATAGTATTAGTGGCATGTTGGTGGAGTTAATAGGAGAGGGTTCCTTTTTCTTGTTAGATGAAGTAAGAGGTGAGAATGCTATTTCAATAACCTCATGTGGGTTGTTCTTGCAATTGTTAGAAATCTCAAGGGGTGTGGTTGTAGTGTAAACTTTTTTTTTTTTTTTGTGTGTGTGTGTTCTTTTTATTGGCACATGCGAGGACCAAAGCCCTTAGAGAGACAAAAATTAATTGTGGGAGTAGAGATGCAAATGAGCCAAGCCAAGCTGAGTTTTCCGTTGTTTGGGCTTGGGTCAGGGAAATCATCTCCTTATCTACTTACAAAACAAATCACCTATGTTCGTGAATGTAGGCAATCCAAGCTGGGTGTTGCTCGAACTTGGCTTGGTTCACGTAACGAGCTTCAAAACAATGCTTTAGTTCCACTCCTTTATATAACAAACAAACTTTATTTTTTTGTTGAGTACATAATATTGAACAAAGTTGAACAAGCTCATTGGCCAGCTAAGAACTAGTTGTTCTTGAACCCTTAGAATAAGAGTCGCCATATATTTTTAAGGTCATACATCGGAAGCTGCCAAAGTCCATTAGGGGGGTGAAAAGAAAATGAGACATTTAATGAGCTTTGATGGTGCCAAGCTTGAGCGATTGACATTTATTTTAAAATCTTGTATGGATATGCTCTCTTACTGGTTTCTTAACAACATTTTTGTGGGTATTATACATAAAAACGACACAAGGAGCAAACCTCCATACACCGGAAGTATACAAAATATACTAAAGCTCTTCCATGAAGTCTGTAAGAGTAAACAACGATTAACAAAAGATTCCTGTAAGCCGAAAGAGAAACATATTAAGTAAAGTTCTTTAAGCAGAATGTTTATAAAGCCAGCAGAATTGCTATAGTTGGAGTGCTATAGTTTTGCCCCGGGGTGACAAAGTGCACTGATAAGTGGTTTTTGATCAATAATATGATGGATTTAGTTGGGGAAAAGATTTAATTTCCAGAAACTTGAAGGTGCTGTAGAGTACTAAGCCAGCAGAATTGCTTCAGGTTGCTGCTCTGCAGGAACAATTGCAATTCTAATTCAGAATGTGGAAATATGGAACTTGGTTCTTGTCGATTTTGATAACTGGGACTTGTAGAGTGTTTCCAATTATTCTTTTCAACTGTGGGTGTTAAAAAGATGATTTTAGCAGGTTTTGTTTGCATCAAGACATTGCCATGTCAAATTGAACTTGCATTCATTAAAAGGGATAAGCCACTATTGATGATGAATAGATTGTATTTTGCCTATCAAATTTATTTGAGTAATGTTTCTTGGAAAACTTGGTTGTTAGTGTTTTTCTCCTAATATTTTATGATCATTTATGTAGGAGAAACGTGGGAGAGAGATTGTCTTAAAAGCAATGGGACAGGCAATTAGCAAGACAGTAGCCATTGCAGAGATTATAAAGGTTGGTTCATCTACAATTCTATCACATTCTGTTTACTTGGATTTTTTTATTTTATATTTTTTTATGAAGAAATCTAGCTCATTCTTTACCTGAAACAGAGGAGAATTCCCCAATTGCATCAAGATACTGCCATCAGTTCAGTAAGCATAACGGATGTATGGGAACCCATTGAAGAGGGTCTTTTACCGTAAGTATCGCGTCTTGTACATCACCTCCATTTTCATATGTATATTGAAGCTATGCTTCTGACACTAACTTCGACATGTCTAATATAGTGTGGAGCAGACTCGCCATGTCTCAATGATTTCAGTTACCTTGTCAACCAGGGAGCTAGACAAGAATTCTCCAGGGTAAATTTCAATTCTTCTAAATCTTAGGTGACTGGTTGGAAGCTAGGTTACATGGACTCGGGTATGAGTATCAGGTGTGGGTGTGTATTCAACCATGAGACCTTCATAAATTTAAATTTTAGGATCTACGGACACATATCCAAAATTGGATATGGGTACGGGGACGTGTCATGTACACATAAATATTGCATATTATATAATATTCTCAGATGAGATATCGTAAATTATGCAGAAATATATTAGAAATTAAATAGGATTCAAGAAACATATGAAATTTCTATATCTAATTCATGTGAAAGACAAAAAATATTGCTTTACTAGTAAATGTGACTTTCTTCTTCTTCATACATTCTCACAAATTAAAGGATCTGAGTGTCTAAATTGGATACGAGTGTCGGACACATATCCCACACCCTTACCCATGTCATATGTGGTGGACACAGGTACTCTGGGAAAAGTAGAAGAGTCAATGTAACTGACGTTGGGAGCTAAGAAATTCTGGAAACCCCTGCTTGAACTACTGCTTTTAGCTAATTGTTTTGACCCGCTTGAATTTTATACCTTTGGCCATTTCATTTGTTTCCTAGTTTTCTTTTTTCTTTTTCTTTTTTTCCTTCTCCCAACCTATACATGTTTCATTTGACTGCCAAGTGAGTTCCTTTCTTTCCTGGTTATCTGAGTCGAATGTGTCCCTGAATGGAATTCTGTGCCCATAGGTACCAAGCTCCATCCCAGGTGGGCCAACCAAAGCCACAGCAAAATTATCAGCAGCAACAACCACCTCGACAGTATAATTATCATCAGCAACAGCAACAACAACAGCAACCTAGACAGTATAATTATCAGATGCAGCAACAACAACCTAGACAAACGCGTGCACCCTATAATGCTGTTAATGAAGGTGATATCCGCAACAACAATTGAAGATGGATAATTGTTGAATTGTGTTCATGTGTATGTGTTTTCCCCCTAAAACACATTATTATTTGTTTTTTTAGATTCATATGGTCGTGGACAAGATCGTGGCAGAGGGAGAGGGAGGGGAAGGGGGAGAGGAGGACGGGGTTGGGGCAGAGGTGGATATGGAAACTACCAAGGTATTGGCTCCTAGAATTGCAATTTGTAATGCAAAAAATATGATCAAGTTGTGTATCAAGTTATATGTTTATTTGCTATGTTAATAATAACTTCAATGCATATCCCTGATTTTTGCTATATTTTCTGTCTGATAGAAAATGACGGATATTCAAACTGGGGCCAAGGTGGTGGGCGTGGCAATGATGGATATTCAAACTGGGGTCAAGGTGGTGGGCGTGGCAATGATGGGTATTCAAACTGGGGCCAAGGTGGTGGTCGTGGCAATGATGGATATTCAAATTGGGGCCAAGGTGGGCGTGGCAGAGATTGGGGGTACCGTGGTTAGTATGCTACTCTCTGTTTCTATTTGCATTCATAATGTTCTTGTGCAATATTGGCTATTGGAACACAAGAAGCTAGTCTCAATTTCAGGCTAATAGCTTTTGCACTTCTCTTTTCAACTAACTCGGTGTAATAATAATTGAAAATTTTATTTATCTTCATAAATATCTTAGTTAAATAACTTAGTATTCAATTTTTACTAGTAGTTTAGTCAATATTATTTTGACCACAATGGTGTGACTTCTTGATTTGAATATTTTTAGTGTCTACAAAAGACTTGGAATATAAAATTCTAAATTCTATTTTTGGTAATGGTTAATTCATGAGAAGCATTAATGTATTGACTTAGTTTTCAAATAATCCATTTAGTTGCATATTGTTTACACTGTAAATGGAATTGTGATATGAATTAATGCTCTGGTAATGCCAATGCTTGTGTTTCTGTTTGAATTGTTTTTTGGTTTTATCATTTCAAATAACTCGGTTTTTTTGACAGGTGCCGGGTATGAAAGAGGGAGAGGTGGAGGGGGCAGAGGAGGCTATGGACGCAGCCGTGGACGGATGGGCAGGGGTCCAAGGGGTGGTGGCAATCAGGCATAATGATTGGGGGTTGGTGTGCTTTGCTCTAGCTGAATGTTTGCCATGGCTTAGCGGTTATCATATTTTAAAGTCTGGTTTGGAAGTTTTGAAATTATGGCTTTATGTTCTTCAGGGTTTTTAAGCATTGATTTTGTTCTTTTTGTGAATGTGGGCAAAGCTTGTTTTAAACTCTGTTGCTGCTTTTTATGTTAGCCAAAGAGCAAGTAGCCAATTTCTAATTGCTGTCAATTTCACTCTTTGCAGTCCAAGTATATGCTTATTGTATTTATTCAATTATCTTTATTCATAGGTTTTTTTTTTCTAAAGCTCGTCTCCCTTTTAGTCATGTTCCTTCCGTGCTATTTCTTGGCAATTTCTTGGTGTCATTTTTTGTTTTTAATGCTGTTGTGAAGTTTTGTAGTGCACTAAACTAGCATTTGTTGTGAAAAGTACCAACTTTATGGTATTTGGTGTTAGGCATATTGAAGTTCATGTAGTATTTGCAGAGGTTGCTCAACCATTGCGTCACTTTGACTTATCTGCATTTTCTTGAAGGTCCAATAAAATAAGATCACATTTCGATGTTTAGCTGCTTGAGGTTTCACAGAAATTTTGGGCTATTAAGATTATTTGATGTTTGTTTTGTACTTTGTTCAAACTGATGTGGAAACTAGGTCGAGAGGACAAAGTTATGAGATAAGCATTGCTGATGTGTATTGTGGGCATTATCAGTGTTTGTGTTTTTACCAAATTCACATTTTTTAATGCAAAAGCATAGAGACTTAAATAATACTATATATATTAATTAATATGTTAATAGATGATGTGATATAATTTTATAAATTTTAAATATTTGTAATTTGTATAATAGGTAAGGTCTGTAATAATGATATAATATTAGTTAGTACACTAATTTATATATTAATTGGTAAACTACCGTTTCAAAAAATACATTGTTCTTGCCTTTAGTAATATCTCTAATTTTGTCTGTTTATTTTTTTAAAAACGTTCTTAATCACTCCATGAACATGTCTAGATTCATTAAATCCTGTTGGCCTAATAGATGAGAAAGGCAGGCTCGATGAAAGCGATAGTTTTAACTCTTAACAAATATGCATATTTTATATGATATTTAAAGCAAAATTTACTTATCTAGAAATCAAAAAAGAAAAATGTTTCATTATCAAATATCTCCGAATTATAAATATTGCAAAATTCAAATTTTTTGTTCATAGTTTGTTCACATTATATCTCAAAATATTAATATCTTATTTCATTTTTTATTGTCTCAAAATATTAATTTGATTTCAAAAATTATGAACTAAAATAATATAAATTTCTTATTTTGATCTTTTTTTAAAATTCATTAGCAACACAAAAAGTATAATTACGACATTGATATTCTTTAAAAATGTACTATTAAAAAGTAATTTTGAAAAATTAATCCTTTTAAAGTGTAATAATTTTACTATAAAAAAAGTTGAATTTTTTAGAAGGAACTATTAGTTTGAGATGGAGAGAGTAGTAAATCTCTTTGTCCCCTAAGTGTTCAAAAACTCTAATCATAAAAGTGAAATTCTTTCAATGTCTTAAGGGAGGGGAAAAAAAAAATAAAAAAAAACTCATAAAAACATGTTATACAAAGGCCTAGTTAAAAATCTTCCTTTATATATCCTAATAATTGTAAAGGGTCAGAAATTAAGCTCCAAATTAAATATGGGCCTAAGTGCTGAGGTTGCCTCGTTGGAATGAAAAAGAAGCATGGGCTAAAGCTCAAGGGAAGTGGGCCAACAGAAGGCCGAAGTAGGTCCGACCTGCCAAAGGTTCAAATGGACTCCACGAAGGAAAATGCCTAAGTCAAGTTGCAGAGGCAACACATGCAATAGTCAAGTTGCTGAGGCAACACTTGCGGCAGTCAAGTTACTGTGGCACTTTGCCTCAGCGTCGCCATTACCCAATAATGTCAGTTCAGCCGCCATCTGAAGTTGCTAAGAGAAAGAGAAAGCCGAAGCAACTAAGTTGCAGAGACGACACTTGCGACGGCCAAGTTGCGGAGGCACTTTGTCTCAGTGCTGCCATTCCAAGTATTGCCAATACTACCGCTATTCCAAGTATTGTCGGTTCCGCAGCCACCTGAAGTTGCTAAGGGAAGGAGAGAACCAAAGTAACTAAGTTGCAGAGGCATTACTTGTAGCGTCCAAGTTGCAGAGGCACTTTGTCGGCGCCATCTCCAATATTGTCGATTTTGTCATTTGAACTTGCCACGGGAAACGATTGCTGCAGCAACTATAGTCGCCGCAACCAATTTGCGAATGGAACATCTCGCCAAGGTGATATCAGCCTTTAGGAAAAGCTTCCCCTCTACAAGAAGAGGCTAATGCTTGGTGCTGATAGCAGGCCCCAAAGTTCATTAACTTGGCGCTGATAGCAGGCCCCAAGACTTACTAGTTGGAGCTGATAGCAAGCTCAGAAATACCAGTTTACCGCGGCAATCCCGCAAAGATAGGAACAGGGTAACCCGAGTGTAAGGGACTCATTTTCAATTACCCAGGTCATGGACCTGCCTTAGTCGCACACGCAGGACTAAGGAAGCCTCCTTGGGCTTGGTACTAAGGCACATCATGGCTGATAGCAAGCTTGGTTATGGCCTTCGCCCTGGGAAGCTAGGGAGTTTGTGGTTAGGTGGCTAAGGGTGGAGGCTACGCTGAGGTGAGCACGAACATAGTCAATAGCAGACTAATGAAGTTTTGAGAATGCATGTACTGGCCACATAGAACTGAGAAGGCAAGTGCTGCAGCAAGATTTATCGTTGCAAGTGCACTTGTTGAGGTTCGAGCTAAGAAGGCAAGTGCAATGGCAAACGCTCCCGCCGCAACTACACTTGCTGAGACTCAAAAAGGGAGTTGCAGCACCAAACACTTCTGTCGCAACTACACTCGCTGAGGTTTAAAAGGGTAGTTGAGGAGGCAAACAGATAGTACACAGTACATGCAGAGGGACACGTGACACCTTCAGCCTGGTGGCTCAAGGCAGAATATTTTGTGTGATCCTTAGAGACACCTGTCTTCTCTTTATTTGGCCACTTGGTGTCCTCTTCGTACCAAGGAAAAACCTATAAATAGAACCCACTTCCCAAGGTTCAACAAGAGGAATTTTGGAGATTTGGAGGAGATGTTGCCCATTTGTGCACTGCCATACATTTCTTCTTGAGCTACTTGCTTCACCTTAGCCCAGCCGCACACTCTCCAACTCCCAGACAGTTGCTGCTGTTGGTTCTTTAGCCATTCCACCATTGTAGGACCATTAGTATAGTTTTGCCTCTCTAATTACCTTCCTAACTTTGAACTCCCTTACATTTTTGGCGACTCTACTGGGGAGGCTACTTTGTTGATGGTTCATACTAGCAGTGGCTTACATTTTAGAAAATTTAGAAAACCCATGACTCGTGCCAGCCCCCACGACAGCATGGCTCTTCCAATGGCGGAATATCACATGCGAAGGACCACGACCATAGTGTTGTGGTTGAGGCAGTCCAGTCACTCTAGGTTACGTAGAGGGAGATCCTGGTAGCTTTGCAAACTCTTACTGAGGCTATTATGGCCATGGCGTCCAGACCAGCCTTAGCGCAAGCACCTCCACTTGCAGCAGTCCCAAACCCAATGACTAACCTGCTCCCTAAGGTTCGAGCTCCGATCCAGGTGCCTCTAGTGGTACCTCAGGCAAACGGTACGGTCGCTGGTTCAGCTATCTAGGAACAAATAGGTCCATTCCAACCCACTCACTTCGTTACTCTATCCGACGTATAAGCTATGCTCGAGCAAGAGCATAGCAAGAAGCAATTGCCATCTCTCCCAGACCCAGATGTGAAACCCCCATACTCTCAGGAGATATTGACCATGCCATACCCAATTGGGTATACAGTGCCCAAGTTTATTAAGTTTGATGGAAAACAAGGCAATGCCAGAGAACACGTGGTGAGGTTCATTTAAACTCTTGGTGTCCATGGTAGTGACCACTCTCTGTGCCTTCGGGAGTTCTCCAAATCACTTACTGAAAGGGCTCACAGCTGGTATGTGATCTTGGCTCCCAACTCGATCAAGAGTTGGGAAGAGATGGTGAACAAGTTCCACACAAAGTTTGTCCAAGTCCAAGAGAAAGTTATAACCCTCACACTTGGGCGAGATGAATGTCCAAACGGAAGGCGAATATATACTGGACTATGTTAAGCGGTTCCAAGATAAGGCTATTGACTGTCATGAACCAGTGGATGAGGCCCATTTAGTCAACATATGTGTGGAGAGTGCCATACGCGACTATAAAATTTTCTTGGTGAACCATAATCTGCCTACCTTTTTAGCCTTGGTTGAGGCAGCTAGGAACCTCAGTACCATTGGCCCTCTACATAGATCTCATGATAGTCACTGCTACTCCCGCAGTAGCAGAGTTGCTGCGATAACCTCTGTAGGAGAGAGCCGCTCGCAAGGGGAGGCGTCATCCTCTCAAAAGAGGAAGAGTTATGAGAACAAAAATCCATATCCTTGCAGCCTTGAGAATGTTAAGGCCTTGGTTAAAGAATGGGTAGCCGATGGTGAACTTACTTTGCCTCCGGTTGATGTCCCTCCAACCAAGAAGGACAAAGAAAGCTCAGATTATTATATCTATCACAGAACCACTAGACACCCTACTAGGGACTGTTGGACTTTGAAAAGTATCTTCAAGAAGAAATTTGACGCAAATAAGCTGAAGTTCAAAGATGCCGGTAATCGTGATGTAAGGAAGGACCCTTATCCTAACCACAAAGAGAATGGGAAGAATATAAATATGATTGGGTACCTTGGGCCAGTACGCGATCAGGTGCACATGGCGTCCTACTATGATGAGTTAGAAAAAATCCTTAGCGGCCAGCTCCCTAAGACAGTACCTGCAGAGGCAAAATTCGCAGAGGATACTCATGCTCAGGCCTTGCAAAACTCTATTAAGTTTCGCACCTTCTTTGACCAGCTAGGGCTGAGCCAAGCTGCCAGGTTGAAAGCAACAAAGACCCTCATTAACATTTCCGAAGTGCACCATGCTGAAGTTGCTGAGGCTGAGGAGTATGTGCCTCAGCATATCTAGGAAGATTATAGGGCCTTTAGTCTTTCTAAAGCAGACAAAGCATACCCATTTCTTCATAACTGTCTTCTTTTTGTCACAGCTTACATCAATGATAGAAATTTGATGCAAATAAGCTGAAGTTCAAAGATGCCGGTAATCGTGATGTAAAGAAGGACCCTTATCCTAACCACAAAGAGAATGGGAAAAATATACATATGATTGGGTAC